AGAGAATAGAAGAAAATAAATTTGGTCAATCGGAACCAATTATTGTAAAAAAATTCATTTTATGCACCAAATGTACTAAGAAAATTTAAAATGATTGATGTAACAAGATCAACGTGTCAACTATAATGACTACCGCCAAATAATGAGGATGAAGTATCAATTTAAGGTTATATTATTGAAAGACGAACAAAAAAGCATTGGATTCGAGCTATACCAACATTAGTATAAGGAGCAACTGTACAATTATTGTACTCGTCCCAGTGAATCTGTTACAATTAAAGATCTATATGATGTTTCAACACAACCAGGATCTAATAAAATAAATGAATTGACTAATAGATCATGTATACTTTCATGGAAACCATCTATTCGTGATAATGGTAGTTCAATTATTGAATATATAATTGAACAATGTTTTAAATCATATTTATCATTTATACGTATAGGAACCATAACATCTATAACTGAGTATTTTCATAAAATAGAAAATTTCTTAACAAATGGTGAATGAATATGAATTTCATATTCTCGCACGTAACCAAGCTGGTTTCAGTGCATATTCAAAAGTAAATTGATCTATCGCCCTTCAAACACCACGACAAAGTATTTCACCACATATTGTGGTACCAAAAATTGAATTTCATTCAAAGTATTGTAAATAAAATATTATTGATATTAATTCCTCAATATGAATTAACAGTAAATCATTTGATAAATTCAAAGAAAATTATGAAACTATTGACCTATTTGAAACAATCAACAAATGAATGTGGTACAGCAACATCACGTCTTGATATTCTTGTTCAAAAAGTTCCATCCTCACAAGATGCACCATCACAAATAATGGCTAGCGGTAAATATTATGTTAGTCTTGCTTGGCATACATGTTCAAATGATAGTGAAAGTGAACTATTATCATATATTAGTGTAAAAACGTGAAGAACATAAATCGATTTAGACAATAGTTGAAACAAATTGTCCAGCATATACATATGAACGTCCTAGTTCATCAATAGGTTCAATTAAAATTAATTCGAGTATTCAAACAAGTGGTCCATTATCATGGTTACAAGTCATAAATGATGATGGTGCAAAAATTGCAAGTTGTATTACTGAATAGAAAGATTTAATCGACAAATATGCAAACAAACAGAATGTGTACCTGCTTGTTTTGGTATGATTGCAAAAAAAATATTGTCGACCTTCTCAGACTCTATTGAACGTAAATCAGGTACATTAAAACGATAAAATGAAGTTCCACATGCATTTTTACCATTTTTTGTTAACGATATTGATATTAATATTTGTGCACATTAGAAAAGGAATACCGAAATATACTAGTGGTGAAAATTAACAAAATCTTTTTTTTTTGAATATCGTGTTGATGATAAAGAAACAACACCATGAAAAATTATTGTTAAACTTGATGCATTGGTAAAAAGTATTAACATTGAATATTTAAAAAAAAATAATATTATTTTCGTATTAAAGCTGTTAAAATAAATCATAATCGAACGACTCATTTACAACAAACACATCAATATCCATACTACTATTTATATTAAAATAAGTATCTAGTGACAACTAGGTGTATTTGTCTGTGTCTGTGAGTGTGAGTGAAGACAAGATTGCCACACGCACAGGGCTTCATATAACACATTTTTCGGGAGGTTTTAGTTAATTCGGACACTAATTCAAATGTGGAAAACCTTCAGATTTTCAACCTCTATCATTCTAGATCATTTTAAAGGTACCCAAGCAGACAAACATTTGGAAAAACGCGTTTAAACGCTCAAGCGGGAACTGTGATTGTGAGGCATTAACACTCATTATAAAAACGCAAGAAAAGCGTGCTTTTTGTTTAATTGTCACTTTCAGAGTGTCAAAACATAGAAAAACTCCGAGTTTTAGCGTTAAAACGCGCTTTTATTCTACAATTTAAAAACAATGCGTTTTAACGCTTATTTTTTGAAATTCTCATCGTTTTCACACTCTGAAAGTGAAAACTAAACGAAAAACACGCGTTTCTTGCGTTTTTCAAATGAGCATTTATGGCTCACAATCGTGGTTCTAGTTTGAGCGTTTAAACGCGTTTTTCCAAATATTTGTCTGCTTGGGTACCGACATGTGGAACTATCATACGTTTATACGAAAAAGTAGCAAAAATTACCCTTTAAAGACTATTCCTAAACATTAAAAAGCATAGTTTTTCTGGAAAAATGACTAAAATAGGTTCCAGGCATAAACTCGGAGGCCTTTAAAAAGTCCTTGGAGGAAGAAGAGCGGGCCTCATTTAATAACAAAATCCGAAACCATGAACGATTTCCGAAAAAAGTGATCCATTTTCAAATGTCGAGGAGTGCTCAAGGGTTTCGGATTTTGTCACACTATAAAAGTCTTTAAGGGTTTACGAACTTTAGGAATTCATTTTACTTCCTCTGAGAACTTTTGTGAAACACGATCTGAAAGAAGTGTTGAAGTATATAGGGTAGAAATTTGGACTTCCCCCCTCCCCCCTCCCTCTCTCCTCATGGACCGTGACAGACGGGCTCCATAGGCATCACAGACCGTAATAGACACCGCTCCAGAGGATTACAGTCGTGATAGGTGGTCTCTAGAGACGATCACGGGCCATGGCAGACTTTATTAATATAAGGTTAATGACCGTGTATCAGTAAGATCTCATTGGAATAGATGAACTACGCCTTCATTGCAGTTCTAGAGAACTAAGGAAAGAGTTGTCAACTAATATATCACAAAATAGATCGAACGAAACAGTTTCTAGATGATAAGTAGCAGCAGCCACATCTTGTTTCACATTTTAATCGCATAGGGATTGTACTAACAGCTTTGTTTGGCTGATAGGTTCAGCGATCCATAATTCGGATCGA